ACACACACACACATACACACACACACACACACACATTGTTCACACATCCAGCCCTCTGTCTCCTGACCCCAACAGCCTCCTTAAGCTGCAAAAAAAAAAGCTAAAAAGCACAAAAAGCAAACTGAGTTCAGAATTATTGGCTGAAAAAAGAAGGAACTATTGAAAATAAAGTATTGATTAAATTCCTGCTTCACTTTTTTTTTTCTTTTTCATTTATTTGTGGTGAATTGTAAGGAGAGGATGCGCGAGTTGATCACGTGTGAAAGAATGGATCACAGTGGCTTTAGCTGCCGGATCGTACGCGTTGCTCATCTTGCCTCCTGGAGCCCGTACTGCCAGCTCAGCACACTCCACAGTAATTGAAGCCATTTGCAATGTTGCAGTGTGGTAATGGGCAGATCCATGTCTACCACCCACCCACAGCCTCTACCATTAATCAGAGCTGCAGAGTCAAGAGAGCCAGGATTTGGTTGCTACAGCAGGCCTGACTTTCAGCCAGGAGTCGGATGCTTTAAAGGAACATGATGACGTCCTCCGCTATGGCTGCTTTTAATTTATACATCGTTTAATCTTTTTTTTTTTCCTATTGACAATTTTGATATATTTTGCTTCTCTTAATTTAGGAAAAAAATCTAATTCCGCTAAACAAGAAATGTATCATTAAATTTACCAAGAAAGCCTACTTTTGAATAATCTCAGGTTAGTTTTTATGTTGATTTGTTACAACTTAAGACACTAATTACAAAATAACACAGTACTGCTTTAGTTGAATCAGCTGAGTGATGAAAAAATCATTCAATACTTACTTACAGGGAAAGTCCACACCAGGGGTCCTCAAACTTTTTCCTGTAAGGGCCACATAACTTTTCCCTTCTCTGGTGGGGGGCCGGAGTCAGTTTGTAACAGAAAAAGTGTGACTATTGCAGGAGTGCCTAAATGTAAAAATGTATTGTTTTCCAGAAAGCACAATCAAATAACCCTCTCTGGGTTCTTCACAGTATGTATTCTGCTGAGCTAACAGTCCACTTTTTAGCTTTGAGAGTTTGCTTGCATTTGGTCTTGCAAGCTATCATACTTGTCTTTGTGACGGTATTCATAGTGTCGCCGCAGATTGTATTCTTTGAATACCGCCACYGCCTCTTGACAGATGAACAAAAAATAATCATTTGTCCACTGCAGCTTAAATGTCCTGTGTTCTGAATCAATTTTTCTCTTACCTAATCTTTTCGCCATTATTCCATTCTCTCTTTGAGAGGGGCGGGTTTAGGATTTTTTTTCTGGGGGTTGCCAGATAGGGGCACAGACCGCAGAAGGGTGGAACAGAATGTCACGTTATATGCGTGTATGTATGAAATAGTTACTAACTAATAATTTTTAATAATGAAAATAGTTCATAACTAAGGAACATTTTATTGCAAAAGTCCAACTTTATAATCAAATATAAATACGCATATATGAAAAAAATAACTAAATGCTCTCTGGTATTGTTCTGGGGGCCGGACCAAATGGGGAGGTGGGCCGCATCCGGCCCACGGGCCATAGTTTGGGGACCACTGGTCCACACAATCCTTTTAAAAATTACCAAAGGTAGTTAAATATTTTTAGTTTTTTATAAATTTTATTTTTAAAGTGCTTTTAAAGACGTCCTGATGCATCTCAGTAATCCAGGTAGAAAAAAATCAAAAAGAAAAAATAAGTAGGTCCTCTGGATGGGTTCTTCTTCAGTGAAACGTTTCGTCTCTCGTCCAAGAGACTTCTTCAGTCTGATGAGTTTCAGGTGAACTCAGCCTTATAAGCCCTGCCTCCACATGGACAAACAGGTTAGTCACATGCAAAAGAGGGCAAGAGGATGTTGAACCCCCGCTTGCATTCACTACATTCACATAACACGACACGGGTCAGGTGATGGGGCACATGACCCTCTATGAACAATAGAGCTAATCAAGCCTATTGTTAGTCGATGGCCTTATTTTGCATGTGACTAACCTGTTTGTCCAGGTGGAGGCAGGGCTAATGGTACGTTTACACCGAATGTGTTTTGAGTGGGAGCGGCCGATTCACATTCAAAGTCTGTGGTGGAGGCGCCTCTAGGGGTCGTGGGTCGCATCACGTACGTTTTGGGCGGCACGCAAGGAAGGTGGAAGGGGCGCAGAGCATTTTCCGTGCATGCGGTGCTGCGGAAGCCGCCGCCGCCCGAGCCGCCGCCAGAGTTCATATATCTGAACTTTTCGCCGCTCGACGTGTCTCCCACTGAAAACCGAAACAGACGGACTGGAGATCTTTACCTTAAATCGACCATGTGCAGTTGGATTTTCTGGCAGGATATATCAGCACCGATGTGGATCAGCTGCTCGGGAACAAAAAAAAAAGTCCGTCAGCTGGCAGCTTCTGGAGTGACGAAACTAACTGAACAAATCGCCTCTAAATCATCTGGTGAGTTAATTATCTGCTGTGCGCAACGTTCGCTTGCTTTTTAGTAAATAAATCAAAGGCATTTTCTTTTATTCTACTGTATCTTTATTCACCTGCCGAGGACACGCTCCTCCCACACCCCGCTGCTGCTGCTGCTTGTTCTGGTCTGAACACTAGTGCGTTCTTCGGCCTGAAAATAGTGCGTCCAACGAGAGACGTTTTGCTCTTATTGGCCGCTCAAAACGTGTTCGGTGTGAACGTAGCATTATAAGGCTGAGTTTCACCTGAAACTCATCAGAATGAAGAAGTCTCTTGGAGGAGAGACGAAACGTTTCACTAAAGAAGAACCCATCCAGAGGACCTACTTATTTTTTCTTTTTGGTGCTTTT